GTGTCCCGATGTATTCATGAGAACGTATTGTTACGATCACTTTTAAAGTATCTGGTCGCAGTAAACGACAAATTGCTCGGATAAAAATATATACATACGATGAGTGCTCAACACCTGAAATGTTCGAGGGTTTTAATTTTGTCTTTGAACCATCTTAACGGACCGGATTGTGTATAAAACTTTATTGATATAACCTTGTACTTACATAACTGTATTGCCAAACGGTTTTATAAAAATTTTATGGATTTTGTAGTAAGTTCTGGGTATCATTTTAAAACAAAATGATACCCAGATATCTTCCATATAATAATATATAACAATATTATATGGAAGGTAAACCATGGTATGTTATCAGGATTGGTAATTTCATTAAAAAAGAGAATTAGTATTACACTGTAATGAACATGTCCAGTAAAGCAAAGTAATAACGTATTCTAATGGGAAGCCCTTGGCTACGCGTTTGCACGTGTTTAGTTTATGTTTATTGGCGCAAAGTTGCGAGTGGCATTTATCTATATTTATGCATTTAACCTATTTTTAATACCTATTTTTACTATAAAAAGTGGCATGAAAAGGTGTTAAATATTTTTATTGATAGAAAATCTTTGCATAGTAAAGTAAAGTAAAGTTACAGCCTATATACGTCCCACTGCTGGGCTCAGGCCTCCCCTCATTTCTGAGAGGGTTTAGGGCAAGGAACGCCGCGCTGCCCAAAGTGCGGTTGACGAACTTCACATGTCTTCGAAATATTTTTTTTCTTATTCCTCAGACATGCAGGTTTCCTCCGAGTTTCCTTCACCGCCGAGCACGTGGTAAATCAGCACTTAAAATTGCAATTAACAATTTTATTGGTGCCGGCGGGGATCGAACCCGGGTTACTCGCGTTCTGTTATATTTACAGCGAGCGTTAACCACTGAGCTACCACGGCTCGTATGTATAAGATATTATATGCAAATCTTTGCATATAATATCTTATACATTTTTGATTATCAGATATTTTATTGCATATTAATGTTCAGGTCTCCATAAAACAACAATTAAAATTAATTTTTGCTTCTATAGCTTAGTACGGGAATCCAATTTTACACTACGCGAGTTAATAGAGTTCAGTCTCCACAGATACCAATTAATTGATATTTTTAGGTTTCAAGTGCTAGTTTAACCTGGCGACAATGAGGTCGGGTATCTCATACCCGGGCGTTTAAAAAGACAAGGGATATTTCTATGGATTGCGCGATTCTCGGAAAGAGCGTTGTTCAGTAGCTAGAGTAACGTTAAGGTTGAAGGAAGTGATTGTGAGTATATATTCATTATACATTCATTTACGTGGTAGAACCATGCTGCAGTTCTATTAGCAGTATAGTTGTAGCACGAATGGGTCGGTTCGACCGGGGTAGGATAACACTGTTACAGAATACCAGCATGAATTAGCAGCTTCACACTACTGTGTTTCGTATGGTGAGTGTAGAGAACCGAAAACCGTTTTTACTGCAAACGAAACATTCAATCTTACTCTTCATGGGTGACAAAGCATCTGCATTTCGACTCATAATCGAGGATAGATGTAGATGTCTATGGTCCACGGAATCTATCCGCTTACCATCAGGTGGACTGTGGTCTCGTTTGTCATCTCTTCCTTTAAAAAAAAACATATGCGCAAACTTACAAAGGGTACGTTATAGCTGACCTCATTGTAGTACCTATCTGTGTTTAAGCTTTATTTTTATATAATGATTTCTTATATTTCACCCGTCACTACATCGGATTTGATAGACCACAAATCCTCGCTAAAGAACACCGATTCCTTCCAAGGATGATTCGCGAGGCTATTGAAATCAAAAAACATCCTAATTTCAATAGAGAAGATGGCTGGGTGCTACTATCTGCTTGGGATCCTATAATAAATAAAATTAAATCCCAACCCAAGCATACAACTGCAAGACTTCATGATACCATAAGTTCATACTGTGTAGATCGGAACAAAAGTTAAATTTTAATCTATGGTAACCGCGGTTAACTATGACATCTGGACGTTGAACATCTCAGTCCTTCCCGTGACCATGGGTGCTGTAAAGCTCTCGAAATGTCGGGTATTTAAAAAGTTAAATATACGCGGTAAATTCCGTAAAAACTAGTATTATTTCAATTTATTTTTTATTTATTTTTCTTAAATATTATGGGTGTCATTGCTTTTAAATGTCTTTTGAAGAAAAAAGATTTCAATAGCTTATCAAGTCCATTAGTTCACGATTCATTGGTTTCGCATGCGTCCATAAAACAAAGCTGGGTTACTGAAGTTGACTTTGCATCGTAATTTATATCATCGATGTCAGTGTAAGTGATAGAAGAAACTGTCACTTTATTCTTCTTCCTCTAGCAAACGCTGGCCAATATTTATGGTCCGCTTAATATGACGGATGTAAACGCCCACTTATACCTAAATATATACACATAAATCATTGGAAGACTGCTATTGTTTAGACTATAAGTCGTAACAAAATGAGAAGTTAGAAAAAAAATTAACTCAAAGCTTATTTTGTTGTCATTAATTTTACTTCCAAGCTATGTTTAAGCCTTTGAAATATCCTATTTATTTAATACCCATTGACATGTGTGATTGCTCACTAATCCCATTAGTTTATTAACTACTTGTGCGGTGCAACAATTATTTACACGAAAGAAGAAAAGTATTTCTGTCACGTATTTTCACAATTTATTATTCCATAATAAACTAATATTCGGCGGCATCATTAAACATAAATATTGATGTTCACTAAATATAAATAGTAATAAATTATGTTTTTAGGATTGTTATATAAAGAAAAGAGAGGCTCACGTCCAATATTAGCAGTAGTATTTTACATGTCGACAAAGAATTTAATAATTATCATATAATGTGCCTATAATCACTTGCGATTATTCTCACTTGGTGATCAATTTTATGCGTGTTAGAGCCATGCAGCATACATAATATATATATATATATATATATATATATATATATATATATATATATATATATATATATAAATATATATATATAAATGGTTGTAGCACGAATGGGTTAGCTCGACTTGGGAAGAACCACACTCTCATAGAATGCCAGCGTCAAATAGTTGCTAAATGCTGTTGTTATTCGTAACGTAAGTGTGAAGAACCGAATACCCTTTTTACTGGATAAGAGGCATTTCGTCTTAGTCCTCAGGGGTCCGGACGCATGTGCATTTAGAAACTTATTCGAAGATAGATGTAGATGTCTATGTGCCACAACATCCCCTCACCATGAGGCTGTGTGTGCATTTAACACTCATATTATATAAAAAATCAGCTTCATTTTTGTGATTTGGGTATACACTTGTTAAAAATTATCAGCTTTTAATAGATAGATATTAGAGAGCCGCAGTAGCCCAAGGAGCCATCGTAGCTTAGGAATAAATAATAGAGTACCCGAGAAACTTGGGTTCAATCCCCGCCGGCACCAATAAAATCGTTAATTGCATTTTCAAGTTTGATCTACCATGTGCTCTGCGATAAATAAAGACATCATGTGGAAGATTGCATGTCTAATGAATAAAATATTTTGAGGTCTTCACATTCGCAAACACTCGGAGTAGCAGCACGGCGGCCTAATTGTTCCATTACACTCTCAAAATTGAGGTCTCTATCGAGTACAGGCTGGCTTATCCTACAAAAAAAAAATACATTTTAATTTTAATTACATGTATAAAATTTAAGATAATCGTAGACCATTAATTTTATTTACATTCGGTTTTTTTATAAATCTTCAAAATGTTTTGATAAAATAAAGCCTAGACCCGGCATTTCCTCTATATCTGATCGTAAAGTTTCATCACAAAGTGTTTAGCCATTTTGAAGATTAGCCAGGACAGATGAAAATTCGAAAAATGCTCGTTTATGTACTTGACCATGCAAACAACACCCTGAGCTTTTTATAGCATAAAGGTGACAAACTAGCACACAGTCCACCTGATGGTAAGTGGTTGCTGTGACCCATAGACATCTACATCTATCCTATTACTAATCAAAATGCAGATGCGTTGTCACCCGTGAGGACCAAGATGGAATGCCTCGTTTCCAGTAAAAGGGATCTCCAATTCTCTACACTTACCATACGTAACACATTAGCGTTAAGCTGCCATTTCACGCTGGTATTCTGTGAGAGCGTGGTCCTTTCGCGGTCGAGCCGACCTATTCGTTTTACAACTATATATACCATTAATATAGCTGCAGCGTGGCTCTACCACTTAAAAACCAGGTATTTCTATATTAAGGACAGATTCTTCAATTTTATTTACAGTATAACTAGCTTGCCAGGCAGACGTTGTTCTGCCCTTTTCGACGACCCTTGGTCGTGTCCCATTAAAAATCCTTAAATTCGCCAAAAAATTTGTGGGTCTGTCATGGGCAAAAAAAACTATCCTATCTCTCAAGTTGGACCAAACTGCACACGGTGTGCAAATTTAATTAAAATCGGTTAAGTAGTTTCGGAGTCCATCGCGGACAAACAACGTGACACGTAATTTATATATATTAAGATTTAAGAGTCAATGATCATTTTTAATCTATATTTCGTGTTTTTAATCTTCAAGTTTTCCGAATTCAATATATCTTAGATAACCTACTGGCCTTATACTTTATCTATCCGAAAAGTTTCATTACAATTTATTCAGCTATTTCTAAGATAAGCGCGAAGAATGTTACAGATAGATACTTCAAATTCACTTATTTAAATAGATGAATTATTATAAGTACAAACTAGTATGTTTAGACAATAATTGTAGAGATTGATATGCTCTTTGTGTCTTAACTATGGAATAGTTTTTAAAATAGTTTATGTATGTTCAAGTATGTACTATTCAAAGTTAATATACTGACACTAATAGCTAACTAATTACAAAAACGTATGAATTATTGTTTTAATGAACGTGGATGAAACAATTCAATTATTACATAATACAAGTTAATTTCATCTTTCCAGTACCAGTATCGCCAGCATCGTCTGGTGGTGGAGGTGCTGGTGGCGGATCGGGGACTCCTTTGTACCCTGGCGCTGCCTCTCATCCGCTTTCATCGCTACTGTCGCAGCAAAGATTGTTGGAGTTATCCCGATTCGGATTGAGACACTACGACATCGCGCACCACGTGCTATCTCAGCAAGGTGCTGTAACCAAATTACTAGGTAAGATTTAATAATAAATCTATTCAGACCTACTAAAGCAGTTGTAATATAATAAAAGTTAAAAGTAATTTTGACTTTAATTGGCAGCTTATAATTTAATAATAATAATAATAAGCTTTTTATTTGTCTCAGTTTACACATATTATTAAAAATGTACAAATAAAATCATCACAAACTTAACTTAGAAACATACTTAAGTAACATAAAAGTAATGAGACAAATTACCTGTGACTCAGCTATGTGGTGATTTTAGGTTACCGCTGGTATTCTGCCACAGCCGATTATTTTAAAAAACACAGTATCTTAACCTAATTTTGGCATTGACGTAATACAACTAAAGAATAGACTAAAATATTTATTCATATGTGCTTTGTAGATTTAGGTAAAGGAGACAATCGCCTCTGGGCCTACCAGAAACTTCAACGACCCTCAATAGTATTAGCTCAAAGATTTTTTGAAAATCTAAGCTGAATCATGAACTATTGTAAGAATTAAGAACTAAGAGATTTTGCTCTCAGTGGCGCTTACAGTGGCGGTGTAAGAATATCCAGTACCCTATATCGTCCCCCTGGGTGTCGTAAGAGGCGACAGAGGGACATTGAAACAGGTGGTGGACAACAGCATCTTCCTGATAATAACTCAAAATAATAAAATCTGCAGTTGACAACCCGCTCGCCAAGCGTGGCAACTATGGCAAAATCCCCCCTATGAGGCAGTCTATGGGGGAGGCCTGTATTCAGCTGTAGACTTTTATAGGCTATGATGGATGGCATTTTGCTCTCACATAATTTGCCGAAGGAACTGATCAAAGTCACCTCAAAATAGAAGCGTAGTATTAATGTCCTCCGTACCGAAATTTGGTCACGGCGGCCATTCTCAAAAGATCACCATCGGCGCATGACAGGATTATAGAGCACTAGTGTACGTGCAAACACCATACTCTCTATAATTTTAATCTCATAGTCCGATGTAACATAAGTCTGACATATCAGGCACAGGACCAAAAACTTCTAACTTCCTGACTCTGGAGTTCTACAGAAAATTTCTCGACGCGAAATCCCAATAACAGATTTTAGGCCGACTAGGTTTCAAACGGTTAACTACACCTTCAGTATAAGTGTGGTAGGTTCCAGGAGGAGTCATCACAAGGCTACTGCTGAACATAGGCAATCTAATCATAATTTACCATTATATCTATGTTTACCACGAAGCACGGTCTTGAGCCACCTACATCAATCGACTACCTGCGTGTATAATCACACTGTGCTTGCCAATACGAGGCTACCATTCAATAACCTTTCTTCCTCATCGGTTGTCAGTTCTGCGAGCTATACGGTTTGCCCATTGCAATCAGTTCTGAACTGAACCGCCGGGCTATGGAAAATAATAATTGCTCCTTTATCGATAATTTTGTTCCATTATTGCCCTACTTCTTCTACTTCTTAAGAGTTTTATTGTATTGTTTCGTCGCTTTATATTCTCTATATATAAATACCAATTGCTACCCGTTAGTTTAGCTAAGACTCAAAAACGGCTTGACCAATTTTTATGAAAGTTTGGGTCCCTAAATGGTTTAGATTCACATTTAAACCCGGTAGGTTACACTGTTTTCGTGTTCCAGAAATCATCCGATGGCTGATCGCTAGTCGTTTAAAAAATCAGTCCGTAAAAGAAACAAGCCTCTCCAGGATATACCATTACTGTCCACTAATAAGGTATTTGTAAAAACCACCGCCCACCTAGAACAGTCAGTAACAATTACGTGCTATTTTAATGAAAACAAATCTATTTAACAAAAGTATACGGTCTTTTAATTATTCATCTCCTTCTTATCGTGTAAGGTTAAAGTTACATTCGATTAAGTCCCACTGCTGGGCACAGGCCTCCTCTCATTTGTAAGAGGGTTTTAGGGGAAGAAAATATCCGCTGCGCTGCCCCAAAGCGTGTTGGCGAACTTCACATTTTTTTTTCGAAATATTTGTTTTTCTTATTTCTCCAACATTTATGTTTTCTCATGATTTTTTGCCATTCACCGTTTAGGACGTGATAAATTGTAGCTTAATATTGCAATTAACAATTTCATTGGTGCCGGCGGGGATAGAGCCCGGATAGCTCGCGTACTCTGAAATTTAAAACGAGCCCTTAGCCCATGAATTACTACAGTTTTTGTAAAAGCTTCCATTTATTCGCTCTCTAGTCTTAACCTTGTTTTTTTTTTGGTACCTTCTATAGAAATCTTTCTTCAAGGAGGCTTTCATTGTTCTACCTATTTTTGCGACTTATGTGAAGATACAGCTGTTAATCAATTAGTATATCACTCTTTCCTCAGCTTTCCTCAGCACTCGTGCTGAGGAATGATTTCTGAAAAAAATTGAGGACTTCTAACTTCAATTTGTTACAAGAAGAATAGCCACACGCCAACCACATAATATTCAAATATTTTGCTTTAAATTTCAATAAAACACACACAAACACAAAGTACATTCACCTGATAATTATATGAATTCCTTTTAAATGTATATAACTGGCAATAGAAAAGATTGGCCAGCATGAATGCAAATAATAATTGATAAATCGAATGACTGCCTGCCGCGTATCAGTTCCACCGCAATTAGCGTATTCTTTATTTATGCATAGTTCTTTGGGCGATCTTCATTATTGTATTGATTTATACGAATGATCTTTAAAGAATTGCCTGGCAGTCCGTTATTGCCCGCTACCAAGCTATTTGCAATAATAACTCTACCGCCCACATTGAACGGTCAGTAAGTGTTACGTACTGTTCAACTAATAGCGGCGACTGCTAAGTTAATATAATTTAAAGTATTTATTTCAGAAATGCTATGTTTCCAGTTTCCGTTATGTTCTCATATTATCCTGTGTGTGTCCAAAGAGGTGACATAGAGAAACAAATCAAAGGATGGACAGCAGCGTCTTCCTAATATAGACAAAAAAACTACGTTTGCGAACCTGCTTGCCAGGCGTGGCAACTGTGGCAAATCAAAGGGGGATCTCAAAGGGGGATCCCTATGAGGTAATCCATGGGGTAAGCCTTTGTTCAGCAGTTGACTTTAATAGGCTGTAACGGTGTAATGGCAACGGGTGTTTCCAATAGATTTGAAGTAAGAAAAAGAGAAAATTGTAGAGCCCTAGTAGTTCAGAAGCCACGCAATCGCCAAATTTTACGATACGAGTAGCCCAGGTTCGATCTGCGGCAACACTAATGAAATTGTTGATTTGATTTTTAAGTGCTGATTTACTACATGCTTGGTGGTGAAGTAAACTATTGTGAAGAAACCGCCATGCCTGAGGAATAAAATATTTCAAGGACATATGAAGTCCATCAGTACGCATTGGAGCAGCGCGGCGGTCTATTGCTCCGTAACCCTAAAATGAGGGCAAGCCTGTGACCCATCACTGGGACGTTTACAGGCTGTATAGGCTGGTACTTGATAGTAATTTTCTTATATAGAATATAGGTGACAAACGAGCACAAAGTCCATCTAATGGTTTGATTTGGCTTTAGATTGTTGTGGCCCATAGACATCTAAATCTATCATCGATTAAGTATCAAAATGCAGATGCTTTGTCACCCCTGAGAACTAATAAAAACAAATGCTTGTCGTCTAACCTAAACACAAGCGAAATCGATAGGGCGAAAAATCCCCTATAGTATTAAACGCTGGGTTATACAAAAAGAGGTCTTCCCTGTAGCATAGGTACAAAAAAAGGGTTGCCAGTATTTAAAAGCGCATGAAAAATCATTTATACCTCTAAGTTATAGCCGTTTCTTTACTCATGTAGTTGTAGTATGGTTGAATAAAGAATAGTAAGTTAAGTTACACAGGTATTTTACTGGGAGGGATTATTAAAACTATTATTCTTATATCATGGAGGGACTAAAGACTATTTAAAACTAGCCAAATATATTTTATGTACCTATGTATATTGTTTATTGATTACTGATTTCTTTAACTTCATTGTTTTAATTTCTCATAACCTTGGAAAATTTTAAGATTACAGTAACAAATAATTTATTGGTAAGTTGAAAACTACTACTAGCATGATATTATTATTTGATAACAAATAAGTTATTTTTTATATTCATTTTTACATCGAATAATAATGGCGAGTTATTCGACTATTCGCCATAGGGAATGGCGATTAATCTATATTCGACTATTCGCTATAACAGATATTCGCGGCATCTCTACATTTTACACTTTATCACTTTTGTTAGGTTCTACTGTATACATACACCTTAAGCTGTGTGTAGTCTGATAAAGATATTCATTTGTCTAATATAAACATTCGTTTTATTAATTTGGGAGTCTAAAGGGAAATACTTATCATCATCATCACCATCATTACATAGCATCACACCTCCACTGAACATAGGCCTTTTTAAAGAATATAATTTGAATTGTTTGAATGTCCCGCTCCTTTTAATTAAAATTAAAATTATAAATAAACTGTTTTATTTTATATTTGTAACAAAAACTTATGATAGCCTTGAACTTATAATTTAAAAAATAAAATAAGTTTTTGTCAGAAAATATTGTTAGTTCATCAATTTATGGAATTTTAAAGAAGCTTACTTTTACTATTGCATTTTAAAAAAGCTTACTCAAGAATCGCGGATAACCGATAATTTGAAACAAATTATAGTAGTATGATATCTGATATTCTGAGTATCAAATGGCCACTCGGTGATTTGTCGAAAGCGACGCAGCTCGATGCCTTTAACTTTGTTCTAATTATACGGCCGCAGCAAAAATCTGAATCGCTATTAATCAACGATAAGCCATCAGCGTGGCCGCAGCGAGAGCCTCTATTGACGAAAGCTTAGATTTTAATCGATACATAAAACTTGCACCGTGTTAATTATAAGCCACTGGGCTGTGAACGGGTCCCACCGCCGCGAGCATTCGCTCCGATCCCGAACGATGTCAATCCTATCTAAGCATCGATGACTCCTCACATTCGTAATCATTTGTTTG